ATCCAGCATAATCTCAATCCTTATTTAGAGATGTATTTTCACTTTTTACTCCTTTCAGTCGTCATTATTGTCATTGTACATTAAACATTCATATCCTCTCCTTTGTTACGAGCTAAAGTAGTAATCCTTGTAGCTTGAAGTTTTTTAACTATCATATTCTCTTGAACAATTATATTTTGTGTTTAAGTTGAATGCATACATATATGTTCTATCCACCTTCACTTCAGGAGAATAACTCTTCTGTTTGTACCTATTCACTCCCAAAGAGACCAAATAGGATTTTTTATAATATTATTACATTTATTATTATTATTAATATTAAGACAGAGAGGTGAGAAGATGGAAAAATATCAACTAGGGATTATTGTTTGATTTGAATGAAAATTCTCACAGCTGAAATTATGAAACATGCATGGTATACAATTTGGAGAATTGATCTTTAGATCATAAAAGTGAAAAGGATATTGGTCATGTTTTTCTGCATTTTGATGGCTGAGGAGTCAATATTATTTTTGAACTTTTTTATTCAACTTCATAGTCTATAAACTGGTAGCACTTAAATACTTAATTTTAAGTCTTCCTCTGTGATTTGAATCAACAGAAAGAGATGCATAACATCTGAAAACCAGTTTGACTTTTTGAAAGACTTAGTGGCTAATGTACCAGATCTTCCTTCAAATGAAGAAGAAAAAGATGGTGAACCTAAACCCAAAAGGTAATGAATGTCATGTCCTTCTGCAATCAGCTGTCTTGTCTATAACTTGTATAGGTTTCATGTGGATGATGTTTTCTGACAGAATACTAATCAATTAAACCAAATGTTTTTGTTTGAAATGCAGTAACCTCTGAGACTAGATATAAAAAGACTTCTCCATGTTCACAATTTAAGGGAAGAATCATAAAAACTAGTTGTCATCATCTCAGGCTGTTGAACATCTCTGAAGAGCTACATTTTCTGCTGATTGCAATGACTGACAGAGTGAAATAGTTTTTTTGAGTGATAAATAATGCTTCACCAATTTCCTGACACAAATTAAAGCTGATGGTGAAGAGAGTTGTTTCCTCAAAAGCAATAATTTGAATGTGGGGTCAATTTGTCAAAAATTGTGGTACAAGAAGTACATATATCAAGGCCAGTACAGGGCCATACATTTGTGAGATCCTGGGTACTACTTGGTATAAAATAGGTCAATGACAACCAGTAGGAAAATTTCACAAATGATTCAAAATATTTCTTATGTCATTTTCTCTAGAAAAAGAATGCCAAAAGCTGCTGCACAGAACAAAGAGAAGAAAAAATCAGAAAAAAAGATGCCACAAGCTACTGTGGTATCTGATGAGTCAGATGAAGAGCTCGAATCTGAGGTAAACAACTGTCAGCCTGAATCTGAGGTTAACCCTCTGACACCTTAGAGTGACTGGAACTAATTTCTCCTTACCATATCACCCCTGAATCAAACACTAAGGTCAGGAGAATAAGGGAACTGATCACCAACTAAAGAAGCTCTTGATTGTTAGACAAATTCTCCCTGTCAGCACCTTAGGAAATGTGTAGAGAACATTATGGAGAATATGCATACTGATGTTAGGGTATGAAGGGTTAATTACCATGAAAAGGGATATCATAGTGAAATTGATTTTGTAATTAATTGATTTAATTTTTGTTATCAGTATTTTCAAATGGCCCTGAGAAGAAAAATGTGATTGCACTCACTTGCTCATGAAAAAAACAAATACTAAGTTTCTTTATTATCACATTATTTCAACCAGGAAGAAGATTCTTCTTCTGAAGGAACAAGTAACCACAATAACATCACACCAGCACCAGCTGTTCCATCATTAACCATAACAAGACCAAGTACAGAACAAAGTGAAGAGTAGGTGTCATTTAATTTATCAAATGATCATTCTGACCTGTGTTAGTTCATGCAGAGTTATGATAAAACAAATTCGGCTTTCTCTTAGTTTAGATTTTTAATTCACTGTAATTCCCCTCTTCATGTTGCACTCAACCATTTAACTCTCCCTGTCTGATTATTTAATTAACTGTCAGTTTGGTCATAAATTTCCTTTGAAATTAGTTCAGAGCTTATGATGTTTTACAAAGGAAAAACCCTGTCGCTTAGGTAACAAACATTTGTCTATTCTCCTTTTTGCCTGATGATGCAGCTATATTATGAGGATGAATCACATATTCATTAGTAATAGGAGTTAAAACATTTTTTTGTTGTAATTATTAATACTAGAACTGTTTTTTTTTTTGCAAATATCTTTAAAACACACAGGGTTGGGTGTTAAGTAACCCATGGTATTTCACCCTTTAACTTCCAGAAGTGATTATCATGAAACTTCTCCTTACAATATCCATACATTATCCAGCAAACAGGCTATGAGAATATTCAAACTTATCAGGTAGAAGCTGCTATTTTGATCTAGCACCAAGTTCTCATAACTAATTTACTAGAAAATGTGTAGTAGCCAGAGGGGAGAATCAACAATCAGATCTTGGGAGTTAAGAGGTCTCTGATTGTGGGACACAGAAAGACTGGTGAATTGAAAGGTGCACATTCAAACCTTAGACAAGACATTGTGCTATATTCTTGAGAGATGTTTTACACTCACAGTACATCTCTACTCCTGGGAGTACCAGCATTAGTCAGATTCTGTACACTGTCAGCAAAACCTGTCAAATTGCTGTAGGTGGTATATGGGAAAGTGTGGCATCTTATTTGGGTGTGGAGGGGCACACTTAGTTTCATCATGTTGTTAAAACTGGGTTGAGCTGCTACAGGAAAATCCTTCCGCCTCATAAGTTGGCTTAACCTAATGGTACAACAAATTGTTAGTATTCCAGTAAAGAACACAAATGCATTAACTAACTTGATTGTATTTTCTTTGCAGAAGTGAACCTTCGTCATTACCAGTGAATATTCCCAAGCTTAACCAAATGTCTGGTATAATGGGGAGCTCATTAGATGAAGATGATGATTATGACTCATGAAAACACCAGGAACACATTAAGTCAAGGATGGTTTATCTTCTTTTTGAAAGAATTAAGTGTAAGGGAGATTCCTGTTGATGTGATGTTACAACAGCAAAGGAATTTTATTGCAGTGAACTTGTAAATCAGTCTGTGAAAAAAATCATTGCATCACTTTGACTTAGATTTTACAGGAATTTGTATTATCTTGTACATGTACTGTAAGCTTAGTGTACTGTATTGTTAAATTATTTTGAGTAGAATGCTTTTAAAAAATATTTTGTTGATAAACTTCTTCAGGAGGCTACTGCTTGGGAGGATAATGCCAAAGCTGAAAGAGCAGAATGAATGATAGGCTGACTACTGAGAGGTTTTAAGGGAAAGCATTATATCTATGGCATTTCCTTCTGATTTACTAGTAGGCCAGAAGGGGTTTATTATTACACAGGTTATTAAGCCACATTTCATCATTTGTGACATCATTCTTTGATGACAAAGTGATGTGGTTTGGCCACACTCAAGCATAAAGATAAAAAATTATCCTGGAATTCTAACTGTCTTTGTTAAAGGGTTTGTAGAAAACTTCAATGTCAACGGTTGTGACTGAAAAGATTACTAAAGTAAATGGTTTTAACCTGTGGGTAACATGTGACTGGGCAGTCACATCATGTGGGTGAAGGTTATCCTGAGAAGGAATGTTGTCAGTTGTAATGTCTGACATTGCGACGACCTGAAAGGAAGTCATCATCAATCATTTTTATTTGACTCTGATGATGACTTCCACTTTACACATTGCAGTGCTTCTATACCTGCTGGTTAAAGGGACTCTGTGAAGGTAGAGGTTTTGATCAATCTCTTTCCCTTGATACACTTTGAAGCTTTTGTGAACAACACTGAAACTGTTAGGTCTTAAGTCTTTTCCATGGCTCTCTGTCAAAGTAGCTGTGGGGCATCTGTCTATTAACAGTATGTGAGTGAGCTACTGTGGGTCGTCACCAGCATGCAGTTGAGATACTGATGATTTGAGTTGGATAACTACTGTCTGCATATGTCAATATTTGATGGAAGCATTCATTATGTAATTGGCAAGTGATAGTAGGGAGTGGCTCAGAAAACATAATTGCTAGCTTCTGAATTAAAATAACTTATCGCTCAGTTAAGTTAAAAAATTGAATTAGATTGTCTTGAGACCTTTTAACATGTTTATTATTATTGGTACTGAACAGACTTGTGCTGGCAATTCGATGCCATTTTAGATAACATATACATTGTATATGTGCCTTTGTGCTTTTATTTTTCTGAAATAAATTTGTATAAGATTGTTTTAAATTGCTGTTCTGTTTACATTAAATAAGTTCCACAAGAATGCAACAAAAACAATCCTCAAAAAAAGTTCAGGTCATGTAAAAGCTAGCAGCAAGACTCAACCCCAATAATCTCCCTTTGAAGGCAATTATTGCCTTCAAAGGGAGATATTCCACAAAGGCATTGAACCTGACTGTGTTGAAGACAAAATCTGTTAATTTCTCCAGCCTTTGTCAAACTAAATATTTGGCTTGCTGGCTGAATGTAACCATTGCCATTACATTCCAACAGGGTGGTTACACTTGGACTAGGAACTATATCCATTCACACCTCCCAGTCCAAAAAGACACCCCGTTGAAGAGATGTTACTCCTAATCCCCCATCCCCTTTCCTTAAAAAGGTACCTACTAAGGAGCTCATTCCCAGCGTCCTTCTTAGGGCCCTTGTTCTCCACCCTTAGAATGAGAGACCCCAGGAACAAGGTTGGGTAGATTGGGGTAAACAGGGTAGAACATGGCTAACTTAGGGTAGATGTGGGTTAACGAGGCACAACATCACTAACTCAGGGTAGATGGGGGTTAACTTGGTAGAACATGGCTAACTTAGGGTAGATGTGAGTTAATGGGGTATAACATGGTTAACTTAGGGGAAATGTTGGTAATTATAATAATAATAATAATAATAATAATAATAATAATAGCAACTTCATTTTAGGAGGAACACACAACCGTAATTCAACTGATGGATTATCCTGGTAGAACATGGTTAACTTAGGGTAGATGTGGGCTAATGTGGCAGAACATGGCTAACTTAGGGTAGATGGGGGTTAACAGGATAGAACATGGCTAACCTAGGGTAGATGGGGGTTAACAAGATAGAACATGGCTAACCTAGGGTTGATGTGGGTTACCGTGCTAAAACATAGCTAAGGGTAGATGGGAGCTAATGGAGTAGAACATGGCTAACCTAGGGTTGATGTGGGTTAATGCGGTAGAACATTGTTAACTTAGGGTCGAAGGGGTAGAATAAGGTTAACTAGGACATATCGTAAGTCATACATGAACCTTATGACATAAATATTTTCAGCCATTTTGTCATCTATATGGCGTTCAGCCATGAAGTATATACCCAAGGTTGGCACTAACTAGTAAGGTCAAAGAGGAGAAATCCTCTCCCCCGTTTTGCCATCAAGAATTGACAAAGTGCAAGACCAGGTTACTGGAAAGGTTTGCCCCAGACTTCAAGGACGTTTAGTGCACAACTTTTGCAACCTTTCCGAGATTCTCAAACGGACTACAATTGTTCTGTCACAGTTCCCATTCTTTTACTTCCCGCTGGCCACTTACTTGCAGACCGGTGCGACCGCTGACAAGACCTGAAAGAACTCTCGCCTCAACATAATCACTGAATCGCCTGCGGGTCGCCGGTGTTAAACCAGCAGATTTTCACAGCATATTTCGATAGTAATTTTTTTAACCTCCAGTATGAACCAAAAACCTTCAAAATTTCAATATACAGGAGCTATAGTTTGTGGAATTCCTTCCTCGCTTCCTGACGCTGCGCAAAGACTTAGTGATCCTCCAGAACCCGTGAATTACAACAAAGCGGTGCAACAACACCTCGCGTATGTTCGTGCCTTGAAAGATCTTGGATTACAAGTTACAGAGCTGCCTACGGACGAGGAGTATCCTGATTGTGTCTTTGTCGAAGATGTGGCTGTTGTGTGTGGTAAAGTTGCCCTACTTGCCCGTTTAGGTCACACAACTCGACGTGGTGAAGCAGCGAAAATGAAGACAACTCTCCAAAAACTTGGGTTGGAGATCGAAGAAATGCAAGAGCCGGCTGCTTTAGATGGCGGAGATGTACTGTTTACTGGCAAAGAATTTCTGGTAGGGCTGTCTACCAGAACAAATCAAGCAGGAATAAATTGTTTGGCTGAAACGTTCCCTAGCTACCCCGTTACAGCTGTTCCAGTAACCGAGCATCTTCACCTGAAATCCATGATGACCATGGCAGGCGATGATATCGTTGTGGTTGGAGAAAGTGAAGAGGCCAAGAATGCTTGGTCCGAAGTGGAGAAAAAAGCGAGGTTTCGCTACGAAAAGCTAAGTGTACCTGAAGACACTGCGGCTAACTGTGTATTTGTCAACGGTACACTGTTACACTTGCCTGCACACGAAATTCCAAACAGTATTGAGGTGTTTAATCAAATTACAGGACCAAAGATTGAACTGGAAAATTCTGAACTTCATAAAGTTGACGGCTGCCTTACTTGCTTGTCCATCTTAATATGAAAGAATCTTTGTAACTAGAAAATACCAACTGCATCAAATTCACAATTAATCAAAACTACAACTAAATTCTCGAACATGATTGGTTATCACCAGTCGGATTTGAGCTCTTATAGGACAGTGTACACATCGTGCTTGTAATTGGTCTGTGTGAAAGGACCTAGAACCTAGAAAGGATTGGATAAATTTTTGAGGTGACTGAAGCAAACACAAAAGGTCTTGTAAATGTTTGCAAAATTTTATTTTCCTTTATACATTATGTTTGAGAAATGAGGGGTCCACAGTTTACATTAAAAAAAGGCAGAAGAGATATTCTCTCTGATGACCTCATAACCATTGACCTCAATCTTGTTTTTAGAGTTTTGAAAATTCATAACACATTACATTGACTCAGTAAAATACAACACTCTTACAGGAGTCCAACAATCTATCTTACATTGGACATTGGTGCTAAAAAAGTAATTGTTTTCTCATCTCCATCAAATCACAAGTGCAAGTATAGGATAGAAAAGGGTATATATTGAACTATCAATGTCGTATTGAAGTTTTACAAATGTTTCAAGCACAGCTACCACTAGGGACAGAGGTACTTTTGGCAAACCAACATGTTCTTGCACTGCACTGCACTATGAGAATGAACAGCTGTGAATTTCAATATTTTTTCACCATACAAAGAGTTATATCCTTATGACCTGGGCCACAGAACTTTGCAAAATGTGAGATGTTGTCTTTTCAACATGATGTTGTGAAGGTTTCACACTAACTTTAGCATAAGTACCACCAACAAGACCCTTAGCAAGTCGACCTGGGTTCACACACAAACACCCAAGAATATCCTGTAGTGATATACAAAGTGAAATGTTAGCAGCTACTCTACATAGTCAGCTACCTAAGTATTCGTGCTGGATCATGTGCACTAATAGTAACCACCCTCAACATATGATTATTTACTAGTGGGGTGAAATTAAGATTGATCAATATGTAAGTCAGTGATCAGCCAACAATCTTAGGATAGTGGGCCAATGTTTGATTGATAGTTGAACCTCACTCAACCAATAGCATTACACCTTGGTTGACATCTCAACTGAGACATCAACTGACAACAGCAAAGAGTGGGTTGACTATGGGTGAAACATCAGTTGGAAACTCCTATTTTTTATTCCTCCTTGGCTTATTTTGGTTTCCATAACGAGAACTGACTAGGAAGATTGCCACCCTTTATGGATGGGAGGCTAATCCCTTGCTAGTGCCCCCCCCCCCAACCTACATCCACTCTCTCCTGGGGGTGAGGGGGGGACCAGAGGAGTGAAGTTTTTTTTACCTAAAGAACAAAGAACACACCAAGAGAACCAGCCTGGATTTCAAGTTCAGTTAGCAAACTGTTTAGCCCCTGCCTCCCCCTTCTTACCTATACTCCCCACTAATCTCATCCAAACAATTAGTAGTGGATAGAGGAATTCCCACAGGCTTATGTACTAAACATCTGATCATTAGGCAAAAATTTTACCTTTGCAAAGTATCGCAAGTCTGATGGCAGGATCAAGATGTCAGGATTGTAAGGGAATATGGCTTGCTTTTCAAACTGCTCATAGTCCAGATTTACATCCTCTGCTGGTGGATGCAAGGGGTAGTAACTGCAAACAAAACATTTTCAACAATTTTTGGATTAATCTAGAAAAAGGGAAGGACAATATTTTGACAATTTTCAGTGATGAGTTTGTGCTGAAAACAGTAGTCACTTCCAATTATTACAGACTTGCTCTTGTAATGTTTGCTCTTCACTTTCCAAATTAAATTATAAACTAAATTAATTTATGTCATAATATTTCATCAAACCTGTGCTGGTAAAGAATGTGTCTCACAAGACGACCAAGTCTGTCAGAGGAGCCTGGTGGACTGAGGCAAACAGGAAACAAACCAGTGAAGGTACATGAAGGAAATATTTTAAATGTAATTTAAGATATTATGAAAAATTATATCAAGAGGTTGTTTGGTGATAAATAAAATAATGAAAATATTGATATGAGTATTCTAGACTATTTCATTACCAAACTGTCTCTTCACTACCCAGATGCAATAAAACATCCATGGATGAAAGACCAATGGTCACATTGTTGACCACAAAGGTACATGGATCTGGCACAAAATGAATTCGCTGTAAGAGATCAAAACAACAATGCAGGTGAAAAGTATGTGGAAGTGTAGGTTGTGTCTTTTCTATTTCTTGTGACACAAGTAGTTGCATACTACAACAACTACTTACAATCACTACTTAACCCTTTACTCCCTAATATCAGTATGTATATTCTCCATACACTTCTCTATAAACTTCCCAATGTGCTGACAAGGAGAATTTGTGTGATAATCAAGAGCTTCTTTAGTTGTTGATCATTTCCTTTATTCTCGTAACCTTAAGGAGTGCTTCAGGTGTGATACTGCAAGTAGGGTTAAGTTACACAGCCAGATATAACTAATGGGCATACCTCTGTTGTACTGGATTCTGAGATGTCAATTTTAGTACTGAAGGGTGGTTGGGGATAAACAAAATGGTGATGAATGTCTCGATATGATGGTACAAAGATAACCACAGTGGAAAGCCTGAAAAGGAAAAAAGCATATTGTTTAAGGAATTGTTTTTTAAAACTCATTTGAAAACTTATCAGGAGAATTATTGACCCAGCAAGTACTCTCATCAGGCTGATCTGGTGACAGTTTTGTTGAAAATAACTTTATTGTAATAAGTTTCACAAGAATATCAAGAAAAGTAAATTAACGTGTTAACAAGACAGGGTTTACTAGGAAATTTATTAATTACTTACTTCTCAGTAGCTTTGATTATCTGCTGCACTTGGCGATCGAATATTTCTTCAAATGGTTCCCCTAAATCACCATTCTGCAAATTGCAGAAATCCCTTTCATTAGAAAGAACTAAGCAGTTGTTATACCACCCATATGGGGAATTTGGAAGCTAATCTTATCATGTATTTAGTACTAAAACCAAATTTCAAATTCAAATGAGTTTACATTACCATTAATCACAACAACCTGCATTTACCCTAAATTTTAGAACACAATATAAACAAGAAGTGTTGCAGTTTACTTACAATAATCTGTTCGTGTTTGCTATCAACAAATGGTCCAAGCTAGGAAGAAAAGAAAGTAGAAAGAGCAATTACTTAAGAAAAGTAATTCATAAAACTGTGGTTCAAAGATCATTCTGAAAAGGGAACCAATTTGATAATCTGTGTTTACCAAAATAAGAAGATCTGGCTTGTCATTTTGAACTGTTTTTATTAGATCAGCAAGGGGCTCATAAAGTAGACTGTCTGAAGTCGTAAAGGGGCCAGCAGCTACTAACATCAAAAAAGGTTCTACGAAAAAAAAAGAAAACCAACAATCATTGTAAGGTGGCCTATTTGTTGTAAGTAGAAGTAGTCAGAAAAACACAGTGTAAGGCTCTCTATAACATGTTTTAACCCCTTAATTTCCCAAGATCTGATTGTTAATTCTCCTCTTTAGCTTTTACACATATCCCTGTCAATTAGTTACGAGAACTTAGTGTTAGATCAAAGAAAAAATTCTGCTTGATAAGTTAGAGTAGTCTCACTACCTTTTTTTTTCCCTGGATAATGTATAGATGTTGCAGGAAGAGATTACATGTTGATCACTTCTGGAAGTTCAAGGGTTAAAGAAAACTCTTGGGCAGCAGAGTAAATCCTATAATCTGTATCTACACTTACATAGATCAGTAGCTGAAAGCAAGAATTACCTGAGGATATGCCTTCTGAACTTGGCTCAACATTGTCTAATGATGAACGGAAAGGAAGCTGAACTCCCTAAAAGCAAAGTCAAACAATAATACTGGTTTAAAACTGTTCAGTTCATGTTTGAACTGATTTCTACAATTCCTACCCTTCAGATAAGAACCAAATTAAATTTTTCCATAGAGTTGAATCTTTACAAAATGAAGAACAAGTAACTTCTAATTGACTGCAAATAAGCAAGGACATAGCAACCATAATTCCAGTCAAGCCACAGAAACTTTGATCTCAGCTGGGAAATACCTCTGGACCCTTACACCTGTCACCCTCAGGGTTCACTTGTCTTCATCCCAGCAGCCTAATCATCGGCCATCATTATGATTTTAAAACAAAGTGAAACTTTTAAATGGATGAATTTCATTGACTTACTGTACAAATTTTATTGACAACTAATTTTTGCCCAGTGCTGTTTAATCCTTGAATGGCAATGACCTGAAAAATAAGTTAATAATAATAATGTTTAATTATTGTTTATTTTATAATGAAGGTGAACAGATAAGATGAAAGACACAGTTACCTGGCCAGGAAAAACTGTAAACTGCCGCAGTTCAGAAAGGTCCAACTTAATTCGTTGTCCTGATGAAATTTCCTGAGAACCCTCAAGTATTACAGACTGTGCATTCAATTTGCCATTGGAATCACAGCAAACACGACCAATGACAGAAACTTCTTCCTAAATTAAAAAAAAAAGGGTTGATATGTATTTGTTAAGAAACAGTACACTTTTACACATATATCTTATATAAATTGTTTAAATTACCTTCATCAATACCATTACAAGAGAAAAAAAATCTTCCAACTACAATCCATATAGGGTGTGCTGTTTCCAGTTTTATCATGTATTAAAAGGTTGTAACTCTGTATCTCTAAAGAAGTACCTGAGTTGGAATACTAAGACTTGAGAATTCCTCAATGCCTAAACTTTCCTGTAATTTTTCTGCCATGTCATCTATGAGGTCACTTAGTACTAAAAGGAAAATACAGGTTAATTTTACTACTGATGTAAAAGAGAGAAAAACAAAAGAATAGAAGAAACTAACAAAAAATTTGTAATTAAATTATTTTAACATTTTCCAAAGCTTACTCAAGATCTATCTTACCAGTCTTAATGAAATATTAGAAGTCATCATAAAAAGACATACCAGCTGCCTTATCAGCCTGTTTATGAAACATGTATTTGAAGTCATCAAAAGCCTCTTTCTGATCTGCACACTGCACTGTAAGATGTGATGCCAGTAAACGCTGCTGAAAGACTTGTTGTGGATTATCTCCACTGGGATTAAAGGAGCACACAACTTCTCCTGAGTTGCTACGGGAACCATACTTAACACTGGGTGTAGCACTATAAAACAATATAAAACATTTGTTTTTTTTCACAAATGAAGACGACGTAAATAAGCAAAAGAAATTGATCCATCACAGCTTGTTTATCTCAAGTTATTTCATGAGAAATTATTCTGTATGCTCTATCAGTTAAAAAATATTGAAGCTATAAAAGATACTTTTAAAAAATCAGTCATATTAAAAAGAATAAATATATTTAAATTCCAAATATCAAGTTCAAATTATGTAATTTTATTACAATTATGCAAAAAATGATTAACATAATTTTGATCAGAATAGTTTAAATTCCTGAACAGGCTGCTAAAGCAAATTCAAGTTTTTACTAATGTGTCAGTACAGGTAAGTATACTTCTGTGCAAGGTCAAAGTGTCAGTTGATGCCCCACTGCTAATTGGCAATCAAGTTACAAATAGGTTGGTGGACACATGTTAATTAATCACTTAGTCCTCTCAATGTATCTTTGCAAATAAGGCCTTGGCCAGAGAATACCATTGATTTCCGTCAGTTGCCAGTTGGTCAAGGTGTCTCTATGTTCCCCAAGAACACATGACAATGAGGTTAACCCAAATGAGTGATATATCTTTTATTCCTACCTCCTACACACAATTACCTGGCAGGAGAAAAACTAGCTGGCGATAAAGGAGTTGTCCCAGGACTCCAACCAACAGATGCATGTCTTTTTTTGATTGCTGCTTCAGGAGTTGTATGAGGTCTTTTCATTGACCCCTGAAATCAGACAATTTAAACAAAAAGTGTTTGTTGTGGTTAAACAGAAGTAGATTGATTATAATTGGGTGACTGAGAACTATCAGAGAAATGTCACTCAATGCTGGAGGTAACCTATGACAGATAGACATCCTTTCTGGAGGGGAAAAGCAATACTTAATTTTTTTTCCAAAATGATCAAAACTGAGCTGAAACCAACTCAATGAGAGCAGCCATGCAAGTTAGTCTAATTCATAGAGATAAACAGAACAGAGCCCAATACCTTGTTTCCAGGGGTTTGGTAGCATTCATACAAATCTTCACCCTCCGCATTTATACTGTGTATACTTGTCAAGGTCTGATGCAATGTTTGTTTTGTATGAATAAAGGAATATTGTCAAAACCTGGGCTTTAAAACCACTTGATATACAAGACTGACAGTAAGATATATTAAAGGTCACATGGCAACCAGGTGGACAACCAGACATGGTTTGATGCTAATCTGGTTTACAGATTTAATGAATGTAACCAAAGAAGTTACAATTTATAGACCCAACGTTTTGACACTCCTGTCTAGTACCTTCATCGAGGGTGATCTAAATGCTGCAACAAGAGGTTCTTTTATATCATCACTAATTAGCTGCCTTTTTTCTGATGAGGTGTAAATAAGCATCAGGAAGTAAGCCACCATCATCACGATTTAAAGGAGCATGGGTGGAGTTAATATGCCAAGCTTCCAAAAAAAGGTGCTGGTGGTAACACCGATTAGTGGTGATAATTTTAGACTTATCCCACCCAATTGTATGGTTAGTTAGGCATGTGTGCTCCGATAAAGCTGAATTTTCTTTTTTGCAAAAGAAAACCACTTTTCAATTTGTTGTCACAGTCATTGCAAGGAATAGAATAAAAGGCATTGGTTTGTTGTTCTTTCATGACAGGATCCTTAGGTTTGGCAAAAATATGCCCCAAAGTCTGAAAAGGTTTTTGAGCAACTTTAAAGGTTTGGCTATTCAAAATTCTCTTGATGGGTTCCATAACACCCTGAATGTAAGGAATAACAGCAAAACCAGTAGCTGGTTCTCTTTCATCAGGAGTGCTATTAGTTGGAACTGATTCTCAGCAGTTATGGAGAAAAGTTTTTGTATAGCCATTTGCCTGTAAGACATTAGAAACATATTTCCTCTCCTCAGCCTTCGAATTGACTGAAGATGGTAGACAGTCAGCCCTCCTGAATAAAGTTTTGACTACAGACTTTCTTATGGCAAAATAGGGTGGTGAAAACTGACAGACCAAAAGTATCTAAGGTGATTTGAACACTAGAGAATTATCAGGTTGCAATAAAAGCAATCTCAATAATGATCACAATATTGTGGCAAATTAAAAGATACAGGTCATCTATGTTATCCTTGTTATACAGTGCAGGCTTGGTCTCTTCCACTTTGATGTTCAACTGCCTCTGTGGTTTCTTGGCTTTATACTGCATTTGAAAATACAGACACAAGAAAACATTAGGAATTATTTCAGTGAAAAAAACAGAAAACTAGCAAATACTGTTTAATGAAAGGGATTCTTAGAAACTGAACCTTACATGCTCAAGAATTAAAGACTTTGCAGGCCCAAAATTCTTCATGTATACACTAGCTGTGTCAATAACTGATCTTGAATTTGATTGATTCCAAGGAATTCCTTACCCCATTTCTCCAATCAACATATACATCTAACACATCTGAGACTGGTCACCAGCTTAGAGAATGTCAATTAACCCTTTATGCCCTAACATCAGTATCTATATTCTCCAAACTTTTCTCTATAGTCATTTCTTTAGGTTCTGACAAGGAGAATTCCTGAAACAATCAAAGCTTCTACGCTTGGCAATCATTTTCTTTATTTTTATGATCTCCCTGAATGATTCAGCAGTGTTACTGTGAGGAGAAATTAGATTCTGGTCACTCATAAAGTTTGAAGGGTTAATTCCAAACTGTGCAAACAGTTGAAACTGAATACAGAGTGCTAACATCTAACATTTATCTTTACTAAATAATCATATTATTTTTCCTGAAATTTGAAGCAAATTTACGCTGTTAAAATTCTTCAGATTACAATATTTTGTAATCTTGGAAAAAATTTTGCCTACGAACGACGAAAAAATATCGTACCTATAACCTAGCTACAACTAATGTTTTCCCAACAACCAAAGTTACAAACTAAATGAGTCTTTACCTTTCTTTCAAAATTTTCCAAAGTTGAAAGATCAGGTTCATGAGTAGATGAAATAGATGTCACATAGGCGATCCATTCCTCAACTAACTCAGAGGCACTCAAATGGTACAAGACGCAAAGTTCCTTCACTAATGTGCGCAAAAAAACAATATATCAGAAGATTTCATTTCTGATTAACTATTGGTAAGAGTTCCACCTCATGGATGGAAAAGGGTATCATTATTTTATACTAACTACCTACATTTATCTAGTACAGAGAGATCATCTATGGAGACAGAAAACTCCTCAAATTCTCGCTCGATTTCAAAGTCAGTCACCATGTTGGATTTCTTCCTTGCTGGTGTTTGGCGCCAATCTTTACGTATACTTCATTACGAGGCTGACCGTGAGCGATCGACTTAGAGCTGGGAATGAACGCTTTGGTCGTTATTCGATAAGAAATCGAACCAACCTTAGAGCTTCGAATTACAAGTGAAACATTATCATTCAAGTAGCAACTTTGTTGGTTCGCGATGGCGTCTGATGAACCAGAAATTTATGGCTACTACTACGACAATGAGGAAGATAGAGGGTTGCTTGATCCTGCCTGGGAAAGACAACAAAAAAAGGTACGTTAATAGCTATAAGCTGCAGTACCGTGACAAAGCAACAGCGAGTGCATGATTTACTTGTTTCCATCCTTACGGAAACTATTCTAATTTTTAACATCTTATATATCCCAAGATCCATTTATTTCTTTTATTTTATACGCAGACGTTTACAGCCTGGTGTAATTCTCATCTTCGAAAAATTAACGTCCAAATTGACGAAATTGACCAAGACTTTAGCGATGGCTTGAAACTGATGGCTTTGCTAGAAGTAATATCAGGCGAAAGACTTCCTAAACCCGAGAAAGGACGGCTGCGATTTCATAAAATTTCCAATGTCAATAAAGCCCTAGACTTTGTGGCCAGCAAAGGAGTGAAACTAGTGTCGATTGGAGCTGAAGGTATGTTAGAGGTTGGCAGTGTTATGGGGGGTGTTGTTCTCTAAGGAAACAAGCATGGACTCGTTCACCTATATACTATGTTTTTTTCAGAAATTGTGGATGGTAACTTAAAGATGATTTTAGGAATGATCTGGACGATAATTCTTCGGTTTGCGATCCAAGATATAGCAGTAGAAGGTAAAGCTTGGCAAATATCCACTGTTGATAACTTCCTAGTTTGCAAGAGTTTTTAACGTAATTGTCGTCTTTCCGTCTCATTTGTCGATAGAATTGTCTGCAAAGGATGGCCTGCTGCTTTGGTGTCAGCGTAAAACTGCTCCATATAAAAATGTCAACGTGCAAAACTTTCACACAAGGTAGATTATTCGTATTGATTCGTAGCGATAGCTGCAATTGTATGCATGTGGTATTCGTGTTTATCTATATGTGTGTGTGCATATGTTATCTGATTCTTGCGGTGAGCGATTGTTCCGACAATAACTTAACTAACGCGAACACTGTGGATTTTCTTGTAGTTTTAAAGATGGCTTGGCTTTTTGTGCTCTTATTCATCGTCATCGGCCGGACCTTATCGATTATAACTCCCTGAGCAAGGTAAGATGTTGTCACTAACCGGACACTCCGTTAGGTGCTTTGTACTTAGCAGAAAGTCGATGCTACGCGAAAACCGCAGGGTGTGTCGTATATTGGATCAATTGAATGTCATTTGAATGTCATGCGTGATCTAGTGCACTTTCGTGATCTCAGCTTTGTACAAGAGAACTAACAAACGATTTTGATTTTTATCGAGTGCCAATACGAGTGAAATTTTTTTAAACCTCAGTCAGGTTTAGTTGATGTTGCTACTTTATGCATGCATGCATGCGTAACTACCTCTGTTTCCTGTCTAACACATATTGCCATTAAAGGAAAAGATCGTCACTATTGTCAAATGATATGTACCAGTTTTCCATATTTATATGGTTCAATAGCTCAGAGTTATTTTTAAAACCTGAAAGTCTAATTGCCATTTAAAAAAACATAATTGAACTTCACAGGTGGCTACGTAACTAGTTTATAAATATGTCTTACGACATTCTGGAAATTTTAGTGGAGTATCTTTTGAATTTGGTTTGATCATTCATGCACCAAAGAGCAATATTTTATGCAATGATATTCTATTTAGATCGAATTGTTTCATGCCTGTGTATGATTGAAACTTTGAAAATTAACAATTCTTGGGAGGCTTATGATGCTCAACAAAAAAAAATTAAATACCTCAAGCTTTGAATGATACATTGTTAGTACCTCTTGTAATTAGGAAAGCTGCCCTGGTGCCTTGAAATATTTGTTGTAATAAATTTATACCAAACTCAAAGACTATTTTAAAATTTTCTCCCTTTTGGCAAATATGCTGATCAAAACTTTATTATTGTAGCACCTGTCTATCATTTTATTTAAATTCATTGTGTGCTATATCTTTCTTATTTGCATGAAATTTTAACAAACCAGTCAATAATGATGTGTCAGTTTTCTAGATATTTTTTCCCATCTTGACCAGAAGCAATTTTATCTAAAGAATGGGTTCTCAAAATACACAATTTTCACTTTCTCACATCTAAACTGAAATTATAAAGAGATACTTTTACAGATCTGCTCTAGTCACTGAATTGAAAGTTGTATCATTCTGTTTCATTTTGGTGGATAAAGTTCGAGAAAGTTTGCTATGTAAAAGCTGTTTGGATGAAAGAAGGGTCAATCTTGAAAATTCAGCTTTCCTTTATTTGAGAAAGTGGTTGGTCAATCTTTATCCAATTCACTCTCACAGTAACTCTTTTTCTTGTTTTCTTATGCTAAAAAGAACACTCTTTAGAAAGAAGTGATTAGATTCACTGTAGGTACAGTTAGGAGCTTACCTGCTTGTCTGGTCCTGTTGTGACACATGACTCTTTCTACATTTTTATGATCAGGAGAGGCCTTTGGAAAACTTGAATTATGCCTTTGATGTTGCTGAGAAACATCTGGACATTCCTAAAATGCTTGACGCTGAAGGTAGGTTAGGCTATGACACTGCCAAGGATGATATGTTCTTGTCAGGATCCTTGGTGATACCAAAGAGCAAATAATGAAAAACCATTTATTTTTCTACTGTTCTTTCTTGTTGATAGACATGGTGAACACTGTAAAGCCTGATGAAAGAGCTGTGATGACTTATGTCTCATCCTATTACCATGCCTTTACCAGCTCTCAAAAGGTATCTGTGTGACTGAGGGTGTTAATCATTACTCAGCAGTAGCAGACCAGACAGGTTCATTCATGAAGAGGAGTTAATCATTGATGAGAAATTTCTCTCCAGATTAGTCAGTTCCAATTTTGTATCATTCCACTGTGGTAAAGGAATTTTTTTGTTAAACTTACCAGTATAGTAAGTTTAACAATATGCTGACCGATATTCTGTTGCCTGAACAATGCAAAACCTCTGGCGAAACAAATGAATAAACTTCAAAACTGGTTTTTTGTGTCTTTACAGTTTTGTACTTCACAGCTATGTAACATGATCATTTTGACCACATGCTAAATAAGACACTTTTTGGCTGCCAAATGGTACTTTCAATGTGCAAAGAAATGGTCAAGGGGAATTTGCTAGGCGTTAAGGCCAATTATTTCAAATTTTAAATGCAGCTACCAACCAAAAAACCCCCAAAAAATTTTGTCACAGCTACTTAGATCCCCTCACCCCTAAAAGGAACAAGTATCTAATTTCTCTTTACATAAACACTACTGAATGTAGCATTAAGGTTTGGAGAATAAAGGGAAGTAAAGTACCATGGGAAATGTATAAAGAACAGGACGGAGAATATGCACTCTGTTGTTGAGGATTAACAACAATTCATTTTGATGGTATTTATAATTGTCACTCAGTGCCATGTATTTTTTTCCTTGTGATACACAGGCTGACACAGCAGCTAAGCGTATTGGTAAGGTTCTCAATATAAACAGAGATAATGAGAAGATGATGGAGGACTATGAAAAAGTTGCAAGTGATGTATGTATCCCAGATTTGTTTACTTGCCAACATGTGTTTTGGTTTAGCTTGTATTTCACAGTCAGAATATATAAATCTTGAAAATGAGGTAAGATGCCTCTTGAAGGGAGTGGTTTTTCTTGTAAAATCATGCATTGTGGTCTGTGATTTCTTTAATTAAAGGAGTGTTTTGAGCAGCCATGTGTACTTCAACTGTGTATGTTCCTCATCTTATTTCTCATTTTTAGCTTCTTGACTGGATCAATAAAACCCTACCCTGGCTGAAGGACAGATCAAGTGATGGGACACTGGGTGATATGCAGGTATTTAGGGGAGGTTCCAATTTTTTCCCTCTATTAACCTAATATTTTGAAAATAATGACACGTTGGAACAGGAATAATTTGATCTTATGGAAATTTCTCTGTGGTTAAATTTTAACAGTTTTAGTAATCAGATTTGAATTCTGTTCCCAGAAAAAGCTTGATGCTCTTCGTGTGTACCGAAGAAGTGAAAAGCCTCCCAGAGTAGAAGAAAAAGGCATGCTGGAGACAAATTTCAACACATTGCAGACCAAACTTCGCCTTGGAAATCGACCTGCATACCTCCCAACAGAAGGGAAAATGATCAGTGTAAGTCATAATGACCAGCTCACTCACTGGTGAATCAAACATTAAGGTCATGAGATTAAAGAGAATGATCACCAACTAAAGGTGATTTTTAAACAGATTCTCCTTGTCAGTACCAAGAGAAATGTACAGAGAAGGGTATTGAGAATAGACATACTGATGTTAAGAGGTATAGGGTTAAAAATAGATACAACTCAAAGACTAACTTATGTGCAACTTTATCAGGTGATGCGCATTCTAACTTTATGAGCCAAGGAAATATCACCACTCTCTAGGAATCATTGGAGTAGCCTCTGACCATTACTTCCAAATATTTACATGTTTACCCAAATTTTAGTGAGCAAATAACAGTCAAGAACAAGCCAATAATAATAAGACATCTACTAATTATTACTTAACTACAGTACACACAAAATGATCATTAAATTCCTAATATGTACCTATAGGACATCAATCGTGCATGGGGAGACTTAGAAGGTGCAGAGAAAGATTTTGAAGATTGGTTGTTGAAGGAAATGAGAAGGTAAAAGTTTTGTGCACAGACTTTTTTAACACCTAGCTCATAAAAACTAAAGAAATGGTCTGGTAGCAAGTGAAAGCTCTGAAGGAAGAAAATAACTCCTGATGTATGGGTTATTGACAGCTTTAACCCTGATTTAATGCAATGTACTGGTAATATTTTCAGCCATTTCCTTTTATATGCAAGGTAGAAATTTCAAATTACCATATTTAACCGTATATAATATGTGCCAGTGTATAATACACACCCT